TTTTTTTTCGCGTCTTCTTTGAAATGCCGAGGGCTGAGCTAGCTATGGGGCCAGGCTGGGTTGAACAAAATAACAAATTCTTCTACCAACCAAACTTGCTCTCAATAATGCTAAGGAGCCAACAGCCAATCTTTCCTTTTTTTTTTCTTTTTGATTTATATGTTTTTTTATAATAATTATCATTAAGTTTGATCTATTTTGTTTCTTGTTTTGTTTTTCTTAAACATGAATGATATACTTATTTTTTATAATAGTAAATTATTTTGGTTGTGTATCTTTTGATATGTTAGTGTCCTATCTAATTGTTGGTTGACTTGGAAGGTTATCAAAATAGCACAAGTTATTAGTCATCTTCATAAACTTGGTGGTTGATTACGATTTTTTATTATTATTATTATTTTTAAATCAGTAGTTTCATAATTTTATAGTACAAAAAGGGCGGATCCAAAAAAAAATTCTGGTAGGATTATATATTTTTTTAATAATCATAAATTTAATGTAATGTACATAAAAAATAGAAAATTGTATTATAAAATTTATATTTATATATATATATATATAAAGAGGTTGTTGGAAAATTCATTTTTAGAAACTCAAAAATAATACCGTTGACTTTTGACTTTCTATATTTGGGTCCATGTTAAATTCTGTATTTATGTTCCTTTAAACGTGTTCGTGCAATTTAATCTTATTTTCTGATAACTTACTGCTTAATTATCTGATAAATCCCATCTCATGCGCTGCCAACTCAATCCGGTTACAGATTTTTGCCATTTTGTTTGTGGGTCCACTCCATAAAAATCGCATGAGATTATTTGATTAACTCGAATTCAATTAATTTGTGGGTCCATTCCGTTTGAATAGTAATGATATTGCAAAATCTGTTGTTGCATTTCAAAAATCATGGGATTGAATATCTATCCAATTACAATCCATATTTATCTTCAATAATAAAAACAATATCTTTCCAATGAGTTTAGGTCTACACAAATGTGTATAAAAAAAAATTGTATAAAAGGATCACTAGCACCATTATTTCTTCACCTACATAGTTGTCGTGTTCAGAGGAAAAAAACACAGATATAAAAAAAACATCACATCGATAATACAATGATGCCATTGAGTACCGTTGACTCCGTTAATTGGAGAAACAAACCTTTTTTGCATTTGAGAGTAGTCCGAATTATTGAAACGCATCACGAACATGAGAGCCCAAACGCATTCCATATATTGTTACATGATGGACATGTAATATTTACCTTTGTTAACTCAATTTTATATAATTTGAAAATTTATTTTAATTATTATTTAAAATTTTATATTGCAGGGTGCATTCATTCAATGTATAATATATTCTCCATATATGGAAGCATTTCGAGGTAAACTCAACGAAGGCGAGGTGTGCGCATTACACAACTACGATGTCGAATTTAATAATGGGAGGAGAGATATCATAAACATGTGGAAACTTGTGCTTCATACAAGAACTCTGCTGATATGGGATATTATATACACAAGGCTAAACCGGTCTGCTCAGTCGGTCGAGAGGGTCAAACTAAGAAGAAACCAAGACAAGAAGCGGGAGGATCGATCATTCAGACAGTCGACCAAGCAGGTGGTCGACCAGTCCATCGCACGACCCGAAAGACGATCGAGCAACCCGTCGCTCGACCAGATACATGATCGGGCAGCCTATTCGACCTCAACAGGTCGATCACTTCGAGGAATCAATAATCGACCTAGTCATGGGCGCGTGTACCGCAGGCGCGCGTAAGAGCCTCTAACTGAACCTCAGGAGAATATTTACCCCATGTGCAAGAGGACACGTGTCGAGAATGTAGTGGGTGATAGCAATAACCACCTCTGACAGCTCCCAACGCCTTGCACCACCTCTGACGTGTGCGCGGCGTGTTAGAGTACGGACGGGCAGCTTGGGCTGCCAGCTCACCTTATCCGGGGAACTATTAGGGCAGGTATCTCACCCCTATATAAAGGGGGTGAGCCTTTTTCCCTGAACACATTCTATTCATTTTCTTCACTTCAGTATACTCATACACATACTGACTTAAGCATCGGAGGCTCTTCACCAGACACAACCCCCGGTGTGAGAGTTATTTGCAGGTTTCCGGCGTTCTATCGGCGAGGACAAGAATCGATCTATCCCGAACTGGACCAGGACGCTTACGCTTGCATTATTGGCGCCGTCTGTGGGGATTTCGTTAAAAAGTTGTGTTTGAAGCTCAACTATGGCGGACGGAATTCCCAAAAACTTGCAGTCAACGTTCGATGAAGCTTGGACGACGACCAGGCCGTTGGGGCACGGCCCTCCTCCGGGTTTTTCTGGCCCATCGCAGACACCGATCACTCCGACGCCTATCCTTCAAGGTGTGGGAGTGACGACGGCGATCCCCGGAGGAGATGCCGGCTCCAGTCGGGCCCAGGAGGCTCGCGCAGCAGCTGCGGCAGCGATGCCACCGCCACCGCCACTAAATCCAACGATGGAGCAGGGAGGAGCGCCACCACTGGCAACAACACAAACTCCTGGTCAACAGATGGTGGCGATGACCAGGGAGGAGATGCAGAAGATAGCGGCGGCCGCGGCGGCGCAGGCGGTGCAACAAGTTGCGAGCCACACATCTCATGCCACCACTGCGCCAACCACGGTGGTAGGAAGCCAAGACGAGGATGTATCCAGTTATGGAGATGGAGGAGTTGGAAGAGATCGGGCGATGGAGAGGATGGCGGAGCAGTTGCGTTTATTGCAGGACAAGGTGGAAGAAAGACCGGAAAGGAGAGCTCGAGGACACCCCTTTTCAAGAGAAATTCTCGCTGCTCCTCTGCCGAATAATTTCAAGGAGACCAACTTGGTGTATGATGGGTCATCTGACCCGTCGAGACATGTGAGGACCTTTGAAAATATGGTTGTGTTGCATGGATACTCTGAGTCTGTTTGTTGTAGGGCATTTTTGTCGACCTTGCGTGGAGGAGCACTCGATTGGTTTCACCAACTTCCTCTCGGGTCGATTGCGGATTTTGAGGATTTTGCTAGCAAACTTACCAATCAATATTCGAGCGCGGTGGCACATGAGAAGACGTATTTGACTCTGATGGCGATGAGGCAAAGGGAGAAGGAGTCGTTGAGAAAGTACGTTGCTCGATATAATCAGACGTGTTTAGAGGTGCACTCGACTTCAGACGAGGTGAAGGCAGGAGGATTGATAAGGAGTCTTCGAGCGGGGCCTTGTCGAACTTCTTTGGCGAAGACCCCTGCTCGATCATATGAGGATGTTTTGAAGCGGTGCAGGAAGTATATTAATTTGGAGGAGATGGAGATGGAGTTTGCAAAGCTGGAAGGAGTGGCTCGGCCAGAGCCAAAAAAAGAGAAAAGCCCACAAAGAGGGAGATCGTCGAGGAGAAATTCGCCCAAACGGAGTGGGCAGAAGAGGGCATCGCCCCGAAGAGAGAGTCGAGACTCAAAAAGGGAGAAGAGAGATGAGTGGCAGAGGAGGCCGATGTTGTTCGAGAGACAGAGATACCACACTTTTACGCCTTTGAGGAAAGACATGACAGAGGTCCTCGAGGCCATGGAACAGAAGATGTCGAGCGAGGATGTGACTTGGCCGAAGACGAGGTTTACAGGCCCAATTCGGCCTAGGTCGGATATTTACTGTCGCTTTCACCGTGATTATGGTCACACCACGGAGAACTGTAGACAATTTGAAGATGAGATCGAGAGGTTGATTCGAGCGGGATATTTGAAAGAATTTGTGTATCACGATAGGGTGAAAGGGAAAAGAAGGAGAAGGTGTAGGGAGGACTCTGAAGAAAGGAGCGATAGAGATGAGGAGGGAGACGGCGGAGATGGTCGAGATGGTCGAGGAAAGAAGCCAAGGAGAGATGGCGATAAGGGAGGGCATGGAGGAGAAGCCCCGATGAAGAGAGGAACAATTTGCATGATTTCCGGTGGGCAAATGGATGGTGACTCGAATAGGGCCAGGAAGGAGCACGCTTGAGCTATGAAGAGGAAGAGAGAGGAGGTGGGGATTACGGCTCACATGCCGGTGATAAGTTTTAAGGCGGAGGATGCCGAGGGAGTGGTCCTGCCGCACAACGATGCTTTGGTAATAACCGCGGAGGTCGCAGGCTTCGATGTGAGACGGGTGTTTATTGATACCGGGAGTTCAATGGACGTGATGTTCGATGACTGTTTTGTACAAATTAACAAGGAGTTGAATACGGAGTTGAAACCAGTGACCACGGCACTCTATGGATTTAATGGAGGAGAGGTGATGCCGATGGGCGAGGTGAGTTTTGGGAGAGCTGAGGAAAGTGCGCATGGTAAGGTTTGTGGTCGTAGGGGCTGAATCATCTTATAACATCATTATGGGGCGGACGAGCTTAAATGCGTTCCAGGCGGTCGTATCCACGTACCACATGACGATTAAATATCTAGTGGGCGAAAACGTAGGGGAGATTGCAGGGGACCAGCTCACTTCGAGGAGCTGCTATCAAACAAGTAAGAAATAACAAGCAATTGGCGAGAAGGCAGGCCAAGCCAAAGGAGGAGGAGATTAATCGACCAGGTGGGTCGAGGTCGAAAGAGGATAAACAGAAAATGGAGAAGGGTAAGGAGAGGATGGATATTCAGCCGGGGGGAGAAGTGGAGGAGATTCAAATGATCGAGGGGTGTGGGGAGAGGAAGTTCAGAATCGGGAAAGGCTTGGAGCAGCCTATTCGGTCGAGGATTATTGATCTGGTAAGGGAGTTCGCTGACATTTTTGCCTATACAGCGGAAGAGTTGACGGGGATAAGTACGGAAGTGATCGAGCACCTGCTGAACATCGACCATAATGTGAGGCTGGTGAAACAAAAAAGAAGACACCATGGGGCGGAGATGGACAAAATCATTGAGAAGGAGGTCGAGAAGCTATTGGGAGCAGGGCATATCAAGGAAATCCAGTTCCCCGAATGG